AGGCTCCACAGGATTGATCCTTTAACCGACAAAGCTTGTTTCTAATTGAGTTTGCCGGTGGTATGAATGCCAGCCACTTTTATTCCTGCCCGCCTTGTTAAGAATTCTGCGTAAGGTGGTTTCCGAGGTTTCTTCCTTGTATGGAATTATTACTGATGATTTAGATTCCTTATTGTTGGTGATGTCTTGCGCATATTTGACTGTGTGATACATCCAAAATAAACAAACTAATATGGAATTACTTACTACCACCACAGTACCCAAGTTTTACACAGTATAGTATTAAGAGGCCGAGTACTACTTTGGTTCAATAAAAACAACGGGAAAGTCCGAATTGAGTTAAATAGGTGTTTGATCTTTTTTTTGTTTATTCAAAAACTTGTCAATTCTGTTTACGCCATTTATTTTTGACTAAGTAGGTCAGAGGTATTATATAAAGCTTGTAATTTTTTTTATTTATTTTGATTTATGATAATTCCACACTAGAGTGACCTACATAATAATTCACAATCACAATTAAATTACGTTTTGTAGTAGTCAGACAGGACAAGAGACAATTACAACTAAAAAAAAGGTAAAAAATGTGAGTGGTGTTCAGTGATATACAACATTCATGCTAAATGATTTTTTTTTTCAAGTTTTAATCACTGTTTGATGTCAGTTAGAGACACATACATCACCAATGAAAATCACCATGGTGTACTGGACAGTTGGTACATGGTAGTTAGTTACAAGGAGTTCTAGTGAGAGATTTCGACGAGTGGGGTTCACACACCAGGTCGGGTGTGAGGACAGATACACGCCAGCGATGACATTGGTTGATGCCAGTTGCGCTAAAATCATGAATTCGTGGAAGGTGAGATTGATGGGTTGGTCATTGGGATCGAGTCCCAGTGGTTGAATAGGTTGAATACGAGCAGCTTGTCTTGTAACCTGCTGAATAAGACAAATATTTTTTGTTTTTGGTGAACTAGAAGTGAGCTCTTCATAACATGATTTCAACCGACTTCACAGTTATTACAACACATGATTTCTTTGAACAAAATCAGCAATGAGCGTTTACACGCCAGCCCTTATAATACTTCAAATGAACGTGTATATTGGTAGGGTGTATCTGAAGAAAAGACATTTCGAGGCAAACAATATGCAACTGGCTTCCATAAACACAACTTGGTACGGTCGAGGGTGGGTAGACTTTGGTCTACTTCGTCTCCTCGAGATGCTGTCGTCTTGGGGCCAAACCTTCATAACCTCTGACAGTTAAGTCTTATTCACTGACTTCGTGCGGTTCGACTGCTTCTCTTGGCTTTAGACTAGGAAGAGGGTGTATTAATCATATCTTCACCGTTCGACAGATTCTGGAACATAGGTATACTCACCACCGGTGTCCAACAATCATCATATTTCTTCTTGATCTGAAAGCGGTATTCGATTCCGTAAACCGAGAGGTACTATGGTGATGTGTTGGCTGTGAAGGGGAATGCTGAGAAATACTGTCCTACGAAAACAGCAATGATCGACTACACAAAGTCACCGGCTACACATCTTCAACCCAGAGAGACCGGGTTTCAAAGGCATAGAGAAAGACTGAGTGCACCGAAGCATTGTAAACCCGACTTTTGACAGCCAAGTTAACGTCGCAATGGGTGCCAGAGGTGGCTCAAATTGGCGCATGCCACCATAGCTTTCATGATACGGTTAGAAATCTCGTCCACCACACCTCCGTCAACACTCACGCAACTACTCAAGTGGTTCACCTGCAAGCTTCTACCAATCTTGTAACAGTACTTTATTTTTATTTATTTATTTATTTTTTTGATTACAGCTTGATGCCACACCGTATTTTCAGTACATGTATGGAATTTTCAGCATGGATATCGGTAGCCCATATTTTGCAGATCGACCATAGATATCGGGTGTGCGTCGGTAGGGGATCGAACCCCGGACCATGTGCATGGTCGGCGAGAGTCCTAACCACTGTGCCACTGACGCACTTAGGCGGCACTAAGCACACACCATACTTACAGACACCGATCGCCGACTAGTTAAGTGCTACTTGCACAGCCTAAATGCTATCTCACAGTAAGATGATATTGTCTGCATACTCGAGGTTGAAAAGTCTCTCTCCAAGAAGCAGATCAACATCACCGTGCCACCACTACACCATAGATCAAGTCCTTCAGAGCTGAATCCAACTAGAACGACCAGATATCCAGTACCCTGTCGTGATTTTCAATGGTTCTCTTAACTAATATATCAATTGACAAGAAACATCATTTTATCTTGTTCAATGTGTTCCTTCTTGCTTTGTTCAAACTTTGTACAAAGATTTTTTTCATAGACATTATGTAGATATTCTAATTGGGTATTTTTAAAAAAATAACAAGAATGTGAAGAAAAAGCGAAAGAAGAAACAGCCGCTGTGAATACAACAATCAGTAGGTATGAACGCCATAATTAGCACGTTTATTTATATTATTCACCAATCCCAAATATTCTTTAGAGAGAAAATAAAACATGAAATGCTGTCTGTCTAGATCAGATTGTTTACAACACTGACTAACTGACCAAATTATCCTTTATACGTGATTGATTGAAAGCAAATGTGAAAAACAAATTACTACACTGATAAACAGATTAATTGATTTCTCTCAATTTTGACAGTTAACTTGTTTAAGTATTGATTTGTTGGGATTTTGATTGATTACTTACTTTACTTCGGCTATCTCCTACGGGAGGATGAGCTGGCTTCATGAACATCTCAAATCATCGCTGCCCAGGAGCGGCGATCTAATGAAGAGAGTTCATGAAGTTTCACGGGAATTCGGTAAGAGTGATGTCCCCAGAATCGCTCGGCCTTTTGTTTGAGAGTGCAGCTCTAGCCTTTACACAACCAAGTGTGGCCTACAAGGCAGTAGGAGTGGAGTAGGGAGTCCACTATCCATTGGCAGCCGCTGACCGGAGTTCGGTTCATACGCCTTTTTCAATGGGGCCAGACATCCAGGACATCCAACAAGCCCTTTGTCCATACGTCTGTCGGTGAGCTCCAGTGAGCTTCATACGCCAGTCGTTGGAGGTTTGGAATCAGGGTTTAGCCATCTCCCCTAGACTGTCATCCAATGGACAGTCAACCCGGTGGAGAGCGCCGGGCATCCGCCTTCGTCCTCTCACTTTGGTGAAAAAAAACACCTCCGCCATGTGAAGGCAGTGAGTAGGACTTCCTCAGGAGAGGCTATGTAAGACGCCCGGTCATATGGGAGCATTTCAAGAGGTGTGCGGAGGGGTGGCCAACCCGCAGCGCAAGGCACCCAACCCCGACCATCCTGAGGCTTTGGATTGATTGGTTACAGGATTTCAATATTAGCTGACATCAGTTCGAGAACCGTTGGAACAATTGGACAACTGTCTCCTCCGTCCTAGTTCGAGACTTTTCATCAGAACGAACCCATCAACAGGGTTCAAACCGAGAACCTTCTGATTACAAGACTAGCGAGCTAGTAGACCATTAAGCCACTGAGACCCGATCCTATGGCCAGCCCATGAATTTAAACTTCTGCTAATTCACGACATAGCGCGACCACTAGCCAATGTCTTCTGTGGCGAGTATTTGTCGTCACACCCAACTTGGATTCGAGCCCCGGTGCTGGGCATGCACTGATGAAGAGTCCCAAACTAGGACGAAACAGCCGTCCAGTACTCCCAGCTGGTCTTCTAATGGTTCTCTAACCCATGTCAGCTAATGATGAAGTTCGGTAAATAACTTGCTGTTGTTGTTGGCATTTCCCACAATTTCATCCTATTTTCAGACAACAGCAACAGCCTCCCGATGTTGACAAAATTAGTGATAATAATAATAAATTGGGTCACGTACACCGATATCACTTAGAAGACAGTCACGATTTCAGCGGGAATCGAACCCAGGACCTTCAAGTTGACTATTCATATTCAGCCAGTGTGACAAAATCCAATAGCATATGTGAAGAAAGTGGTCACCAGTGAGGAGGTTAGATACTCATCGCTGACATTCGTCGACGGCAGTGACATATTACAGAGCTTAGAATTGGATGCCATCTTTGTGGTTGGATGGTTAACGTGCGCCTACCTCGTACCTCTACAAAGTCTTGGGTGCGACTCTCTCACTGGAGTTATAGGTGTGAACTGCTGAAGAGTCGGAAAGTACGACGACGTCATGTATACAATTCAGGGAGTGAAAATTTTCATCACACAATTTCCTTTGGAAACCCAAATTATTCAGATCACAGTCTGTGATCTGGCTAGTCAGCCAGATCGAAGCGATCTAAGTGCGGGATAGTCATTTCACTCGTTCAGCTTGTAATCACCAGTTTTCCACAAACACCCAGCTTCTCTAGGCTGAGTCAAACTGGGTACACCACCCTCAAACGACCGTCAAGTATTTCCAGATCACTTCGATCTGACTGGCTTGCAGGCAAGCACACTACTGGTTGATAGGTGTGAATGGTATACATCTACTACTCATCTCAACTAATCAGTAGTATATATATTGTGTTATGCAAAAGATGTCCAGGTGTCTATGAAACTGGTTTCACTGCATGACCTAATTTGTAACCAATCAAATATCCTTACAATATTCACTGCGTTGGTGGCATAGCGGTTAGGACGCTCGCCGACCATGCACATGGTCCGGGGTTCGATCCCCGGCCGCCGACGCACTCCTTTACCTCGCTAAGCCAGAAATAATACTGGTGAAGAGGAAAGGTTGGGCATGAGGCTAGCAACCCCATCCTGTAAAATAAACACTGCTACAGAAACTTCAAGCCACTAGCTTGAAGCCCTATGTTCCACTGGGGAACGTGAAGAAAAACAAAAACAACAATATTCACTTGAAAAGCAGTTCAGTTTGGTTAGAGAAAGGGAGAGAGAGCTAGCTGAATGACTGAATTCGATAAGACGTTCCACATGAAATAAATAAATCAATAAATAATAATAATAATAACAATAACAGTGCATAAGATACTTACCTCGGCTATTTTTACTCTTGTTCCTGTAGTTGTATTTGTTATCGGAATTTTACTCGATGTATGTGTTGTTTCATGAGAATTATTATATCGCTGTTGTTGTTGCTGCTGTAGCTGCTGGTGATGCTGTTGGTGTTGTAAAGATTGTCCATCAGTATTCAACATTCGACAAGGACAACATGTTTCAATTTTGAATTGTGCTGTCGCTGTAGTTTGTTGATGATGATGATTTGGAGAATTATAAGTTTGTACAGTGAATTTTGAGCCTTGTTCAGTAGGATTGTTATGATTTGAGCTGACCGGGAGAGGAGAATTGATATGAACTATAAGAGAGAAGAGGAATAATAGACAGAGTAATCTAACAGATTCCAGAAAAATGGTGAACATTAATAATACCATAGATTTTTTTAATGCGACAAGAAGAACACATAATCTTCAGTTGTATGAAGAAATGAATTTTTCGGTAAATTGGTCACAATGATATATAGAGCTTTACTAACACATCCCCACTTTTTTCTATTTATTTATTATTTATTATTTTGATTACAGCTTGATTCCACACCGTATTTTCAGTACAAGTATGGAATTTTCAGCATGGATATCGGTAGCCCAAATTTTGCAGGCCGATCATAGATATCGGGTGTGCGTCGGCAGGGGATCGAACCCCGGACCATGTGCATGGTCGGCGAGAGTCCTAACCATTGTGCCACTGCTGTCTTCTTCACCTAGGCCCATGATTACCCATAATCTCACATCTCCTCCTACTCCTCCAAAACGATCCTCTCCAATTTATCCTCACATCGACCACCCACTCGTCGCTTCCCATTCATCTTCCACTCATTCGACGGTCTCCTCAACGTATGCTCAACCGATCCATCTCTATATTTCTCCTACATATTCGATGAGCACTCGGCTCTTTTTTGGTTTGTTGCTATCCAGAGTTTCTTTTGGTCAATTCGTGCTAACCGGCTGGTCATTTGATCTTCAGTATGGAGCCAGTCAGCTAGTTGGGCAGTTGTTGATAGAAGTCTGCAACAGGCTGTTGGAAATGCTTTTCGTGATACACTCGCCAAGATACTGACCCATATAGAGGAACTTGCTGACTTCACATTTGTGTTGAACAGAATCCAAATCTTGTTCTTTATGCTGAGTGAGTAAGTGGAGAAGATTTCCAAACTGGTTTCAGGTTGGTGAAGGTATATCTTACCTTTACGATTCTGCCTGGCTGGCTTTGAAATCTTTATCCGTTCCGCCTATAGTTGAAACGATGCTTCCTGGCTGGATAAGTGAATGAAGTGAACTCTGTTAAATCTCTCCCTTTGATGGTGATCAGTGCTAGTTGCTGTTGGTTATCTTCATCAACCTCGGTTTCCACCTTCTATATGTTCACCTAGAGTCCTGTCTCTACTGCCTGCCTCGTCTCGTCTCTTCAGCTAGTTTGTTACTTTCCGCCTGGCAGCAAGTCTTCGAGTTTGTGTGTGTGTCACATTTAACATAAATCATCCACACGTGAAATTCAGATCTTCTAGAGTCCTTTTATTGGTCAGTCCAAAGTATTCCTGTCTTCTCACTCACTCCCTGTACACAGTCTGACGCACACATAATCCAGTCCACCACAATTAAGAATATCATCTGTGATATTAGGCCGGCAGTCATGTCTTACTCCTGGATGACGTTTCGAACAAAATTTATTGTTTATAATCATATCAATTGCGATCACACGACTTCGAAACTTGAGTTTTATAGTTCTCTTTGTCCTCGCCTATTTGTCGTATGGGTAGTAGAATTTTCCAGATATCGGGAACAGGTGATGAATCATTCCTATTACATGTATTTGTAGTTGATTCGATAAACAAAGCTTCTGTTATCAATCTCTCCCTATACCCTGTGACATAAGATTTTAAAACCGTCATCCTATCCCATCCTATTGTATGGTTGTGTGTGACTGCATGTAGTGCTATAGTTGAACTATTCTCTAGATTTCTTATCTTATTCGGGTCAACTAATCTAGATTTTGCTGCTAGGTTTTTATGTTCTGCTAGTCTGACTGCCCCTGTTCTACTACTTTGACCTATGTATTTGACCTGACAATCATTGTAGGCAGGGTATTAGATAAACTAAATTGTTTTGTTTTAGAGGTTCCGCAGGTTCCTTTAACCGACAAAGCTTGTTTCTAATTGAGTTTGTGGGGGTGGGGCTAAATACCAGCCACTTTTATTCCTGTCTTGTTAAGAATTCTGCGTAAGGCTTCCGAGGTTCCTTCCTTGTATAGAATTACTACTGATGATTTAAATTCTTTATTGTTGGTGTCGTCATTAATATTATTATTATTATCACTATTATCATTATCATTATTATTGCTATTATCATTATCGCTACTATCATTATTTATTTTATTTTTACATTTCCTTACTTATTTCTTGATTAATTGATCCGGGTAATTATTAAGTTTCAAGGCTTCTTTTATGTGTATCAGTTCCTGTTTTACCGAATCAACTACAAATACATGTAATAGGAATGATTCATCACCTGTCCCCGATATCTGGAAAATTCTACTACCCATACGACAAATAGGAGAGAACAAAGAGAACTATAAAACTCAAGTTTCGAAGTCGTGTGATCACAATTGATATGATTATGAACAATAAATTTTGTTCAAAACTGTGTCATCCAGTAAATAATACTGTTTCACTGTGTGATATACCTAATAAACAAACTAATATGGAATTACTTACTACCACAGTGCCCAAGTTTTACACATATTCATACTAGCCGGTTGCCTTACTTACTCCTGTATTCGCTTCAGAAGCCTCAATGAATTTTCTGTTGTGGATCACCTGACACGTGGCATTGTTGTGTAGCCAGCTGTTGAATGAGGTTGATAAAAACTTGGATCCATCAATGAGCTGGTGACTATTACTCAGATTATGGGATTTCTTGGGGGAGATTTCGGATTAATAGCAATGGTTAGATTTTCGTCACGAACCAATAGGTATCCGTCCGTCTGATACTCCCCGGTGACTCTCAATGATCTCTCTCTCTAGCTGATGTGTTGATTCGTGAAACCCACCCCACTACTCACGAATCTGATCATCTGAATATCGAGAATTTATCGTCCAGCAAATAGGCAAAATAAAAGAGTTGTGTTGGACACATAGGCTGAGGTGAACTTTTGAGTGGAACGCAAATGGGAAATGACGAGTTGGTCGTTGGTTCAAGGGCGACACGAAAGATACTATGTCAGGCAGATGATGCTGCAGGATTGGACTTCACCGACCTCTAGATTAGAAATAGGAAGTGAAGTGGTAGAGCACGTTGACCGCTTCACTTACTTGGGAAGTACCATCAACCCTAACGGGTTGATCTCCAACGAAATCTCAGCACGAATACAGAGGGCTAGTCTAGGCCAGGTTGGAAGGTGTAGACTTCCTGGTTGGGGTCCTCGGGACGGTAAAAATCAATGGTTGGAAACAATTGGTGACATGGCTCAAAATCGTTCTCGGTGGATGGCGCAGATGCATCCACTCCTTGTGACTTATGATTTACAATGAAACTGTTTTGTTCTTCGTTATTACTATTCCTTTGTCTCACACCTCTGTCTACTGTCTATATTATGCATTTCTCCTACTTTCTTCTCTTGCTTTGTGTGCAACATGGATGGAGTGTGGCGACTTGAACTGCCGCACATATGTACGAAGTTCTATGTCGAAAACCGACCGACGGACCGACCGATGTCAGGCAATCAATCGTGGAGCCGGTTAAAAAAGGACTACAAAGAATAGAGTGAAATGCAGATACGCTACTGCTGAAGCCCTATGTTTTACACTTGGAACTTAATTTGCAATCAATAATGAATAACTCATAAATAATTGATTAGTGAAAAAGGGTAAAACCACAGTGACCTTGAACAACCAATCAGAATTCATATACCACCACACAGTAGCAAAATCGTTGAAAAAAATACACTAACAAGTATTGCAAACTTGATATTACACTGTGTAGTTTTAGGCTTATGTATTGTAAGAATGTCTCCCGATCAATACACAGATGATCTATGGAGAAAAGGAACCATGCGCGGTAGATGCATTTATTCATATGACTGTAGATCATGGCACTTTGAGATCTATTGATATTTCTTTCTTTCTTTTTTTTTTTGATTACAGCTTGATGCCATACCGTATTTTCAGTACAAGTATGGAATTTTCAGCATGGATATCGGTAGCCCAAATTTTGCAGGCCGACCATAGATATCAGGTGTGTGTCGGCAGGGGATCGAACCCCGGACCATGTGCATGGCCGGCGAGAGTCCTAACCACTGTGCCACCGACGCACCTTCTTCAACGTACTCCTACTCTAACCATAATCTTAACTCCTTATTCTAACCTTAACCGTAGACCCTGAACCTCAGTCTCAAAAACCATAAGACTACCTAACAGTATAGATTTGCAGAAAAAATACCTAGTATATAAGTAGAATACTGTATCTATCCTCTCTAAGTTCAAAAAGAGAGACTTGATTTGATTTGGAATGACACTTTATAGCATTCCCTGTATCCCGTCGGTTCTTGAAGGACAACGTTTGAATGACCTTGACTTTGGCTATGATGCTTTAACTTCACCTTTCAAATGTTTTGCTTTTTTCATGCTTTGAAGGTTTTGTAGTGAGTTGATTCATTTTCCTATGTAGGAGGATCATCAGCTTTATGGCGAACCTTCCCTCTTTCGTCGGGCTTAGGACTGACTGATAAACTAGGTTTGATACTGAAACCCGTCTTCGAAGATGTACAGAAGGCAAAGAAGAAGATACCCAACCGACAATATCAACAACAACAAAAAAATAACAAAAACAAGCATTAATCACCACCACTAACGGGAGGAAACTTGACTGAAGTCACTACTTCCAGTTATGTAAGGCACCATCATTTCACCAACTCTACAGGCAGGCAGGTGACACTGATAAGAATATCAAGAATATAGAAAGCAAGATGACAGCATAAGAAACAAGTGAATACATCCCTTTACATGGCTGGAAGTTGCTTCACGCGGCCCATCACACAAAGCTTTTTCGTAACATGCTGTGACTTTTTTTCAACATCTCCGCCTTTTGCTCCACACACTGAGGAACAAATGACTTAGCAAAACAGGATAAGCAACAAGGAACGCTGGCAACGAACAAAGCAACAAATATGAAGAAAAGAAGCGAGATGACGGGATCGTTGAATGAACCATCACACGCATCAGGACCTCGGGTACAACTCGAAAAAAGATAGTGATAAGTTCGGGACGGATCCAAGATTGACATAGAGAAGATGAAATCGTGTGGA